ATTGCTGAAGAACCTGGGAGAGCATTAAGGAAAATGCTACCAAAGGCTGGAAGAAGGGTAACCCACATTATACACTGGCAGAACAATTAACAAAACTGTTACATAAAGTAACTTACAAGATTAAAAATATACCTCAATATCTGGCTAAGAAGCTTTCCAGATAATATTTAAAGTGTTAGTGGATTCTTTACAGACAAATATGAAAAGGTACAAACAGAAAATTATGAGCTAAAGAATTAACTGTTGGCTGGGCATGGTGACTTACACCTGTAATCCCAGCACTTCCTCAGGGGCTGAGACAGGAAGGTCACTTGAGCCTGGGAGTTCAAGACCAGCCTGAGCAACAGGATGAGACCTCATCTCTGCAGAAAATAAAAAAATTGACCAGGTACAGCACTGTGCACCTGTATTCTCACTTATTCAGGAGGCTGAGAAAAGATTTCTTGAGCTCAGGAGGTCTGCAATGAACTATGACCAAGCCACTGCATAAAGCAAGACCCTGTCTCAGAATGAATAAATGAATGAATAAGCAAATAAATAGTTTAGCTCATAAGCAGAATTTAAAGGAAATATTTCTAAGCAGAAATTGCTGCATTGAAAAATAACTATTTCTCATCACTAGCCTTTTAGATAGCAAAAGACTGTCAAAGAAACAGCATAAGGACGAATATTAAATCTAGAGCACTGCCAATAAAACATGGCCTCACAATTATATAAAAAATACATCTAAATTACCACAAACCCAATGGCTTCCAAAAGATCTATTGTTAATGTTTTAAGAAATGCTTGCATACCCTCTCAGGTAGGCAAAAGGGCTTCTAATAACCTTACAGGACCACTTACCTGGGGACCTGGAGTCCAAAGTAGAGAGAGAGTCTCATCTCAGAAAGAATTGTGGGTGTGATTTTTGTCTAATGGACTACACTTATAATCTGATATACAAGAAACTGACAGGCTGCGCACAGTGGCTCATGCATATGATCCTAGCACTCTGAGAGGACGAGACAGGTGGATTGCCCTGAGTGCACAGGTCCAAGACCAGCCTGCACAAAAGCAAGACCCCATGTCTAAAATTAGCCAGGCGTTGTGGCCAGAACCTGTAGTCCCAGCTACACAGGAGCCTGAGGCAAGAGAATCGCTTGAGCCCAAGAGTTTGAGGTTGCTATGAGCTATGATGCCACGACACTCTATTCAGGGGGACAAACTAAAACTCTGTCTAGAGAAAAAAAGAAAACTGACAAAATATTTTAAAAAGTACTATCAGTTTAAACTAAAAAAATTATATATATACTATTCCAAATTTTAAAAAGCCTATAAGATTTCAAATTTACTTATAGATAAAGTATACTGAGTCTGCTACTCCAGCACATACGAAGCTCATTTCTTTCTTTTTGGAACAGGCTCAAAAGGTTAAGGTCCATTTCTTAATGAAAAGTAAAAATGACTCAGAGAGAAGAGCCAACACCAAAAAGGATCTAGCCAAAAGATTAAAAAAAAAAAAAAAAGAATTATGAAAACACTGCCAGAAGACAGAACCAAGCCATCATTACAGAACATTGCCTATTCCCTACTTGGAGTTCATAATTGCTTTTGGGCCAGAGACTGCTATATGATGCTTCCTATTCTTTTACTCTCCAATGGGGGTATCTATTGTGGTTAACTATCCCCATCTCAAAATTATATATTGAACACATATGTATGTATTATACTATAGTATTACCCAAGTTTTGAGATACACAAAGATCGAAAATCGTAAAATCCACATAGACAGGAACAAATGAATCTGTGCCCCTCACCTCCACCCATACTAATAAGCCAAGCAAGAAGAAACTCACACAAGTGAACCAGAAAGAATGCTGTTGACTGCATTTCTTGCAAGTAAAATAATGGATCATAACACATTCTGTCTCAAAACTTTCATAATGATCAGTCCACAGATCTCCAAATCAAGAGCAGCCATACCCAAGAAGCCTCATCCCAATGTGGTGCAGAAACATCATAAGATAATGGATTTTGAGCCTTAGACCATAATCAGATGAGATTTCTGGCCATCCTAGGAGAGTTGGGTATGCATTACATGCTGGAAAGACATGAATTATCCACCAGAGGAAGAACTAGGGCAGATCATCTACAATGGTGGCTGCTAATGATTTCTCCTATTCCTGCATATATATTACTCCTCTTATCAAGAGGTGGATTCTTTTTTCTGCTTCCCTTAAATCTTGGTGATAAGTCATTTTATTTGCTTTGAAAGCCATTCAATAGAAATGGTGCTATACAGTTTCAGGCCTAGCCCATAAAAGTAATAGACACTTCTCTTTCTGTTCTTTTGTTACCCAGAATCACCAAGTATAGAAGACTAGGCTATCTTTCCTGACCAGTGATTTTCAACTGATGTGCCACAAGAGGATCTCAGGTGTGCCTACAAAATTTTTAAAGATTGATAATTAAATTATTTTTCAAAAGAAGTTCAAAGCAAAGTATAATCTTTTTTTTCACTTTTTCTTTTTTGATCAACATAATTGAAGTCAGCCGTGGAAGTTTAACTATAGATTCAAGTGTGCCATGAGATTAAAAAATGGTTGAAAAACACTGTTCTATAGAGTGGGCAACAAAGTCCTAGCTGATAAACAGGAAAGACACCCAGAGAACAGATGAGGGGTCTCAACTAAAAGCCAACACTGGCCCAGCGCCTATAGCTCAAGCAGCTAAGGCGCCAGCCACATACACCAGAGCTGGCGGGTTTGAATCCAGCCCGGGCCTGCCAAACAACAATAACAACTACAACCATAAAGTAGTGGGCGTTGTGGCAGACGCCTGTAGTCCCAACTACTTAGGAGGCTGAGGCAAAAGAATCGTTTAAGCCCAGGAGTTGGAGGTTGCTGTGAGCTGTGATGCCACAGCACTCTACCTAGGGCAACAGCTTGAGGCTCTGTCTCAAAAAAATAAATAAATAAAAGCCACCACTAAAGCCCAACACAAATGAGTGAGGCCATACCTAGGATCCTCTAGCCTCGTTTAAGCCACTTCAGTCAACATCTGATGGACCAGAGCAAAGTGTTCCCTGCCCCCAAAAATTACAGCAATAAAACAGTTGTAATTTTAAGCCAAAATATTCTGAAATAATTTGTTAGAAATGGATAAATGGACATAGGTAGTAAGCGCAACAAATGCTACAAAGCCCAAGTATTTTAGTACTATCTAAAAGTCAGTGTTAGGAATCCTAATGTATTATGGGAGGAGTTTATTTAATGCTAATTAAGAGGAGGAATTGTTAGCTTTAAGTTCTACTTTCCTAAATTTTCCACAGTATATACGTTTTACTTTTAAAATATCAAGAAAAATGTCATTTTTTTATAACCTCCTTGAACATATTATTCTCAGCTTATTGGTCCTACTGTACTGCAATTTATTCAGTCTAATTCATATTTTCTTATGACAAAATATACAAACATTTCATCAACTAAAAATATTCTCTTTTGTGGTTGAAGGATGTGAAATTCTGATTGCACCAACAATCTAAGAAATAAGCAATATACAGTAGAACCTCTCTAAGTTGACCACCGAAAGGACTGTAACAAACTGGTCAGCATACAAAGGTGGTCAACATAAAGAACTAGGCCGACTGTAATGATACATGTATGTGGCGCATGTCTCTCTGATCTCTGAAAATTAGGTCAATTTAAGGGGGTAGGCAATGTAAGCAGGTGGTCAACTATGAAGGTTCTACTGAATATGGTTTCACAATTTCTGAAGAATTAAAATGATTGAACAGCAACTTATAATAACATTGCTCATAATTTAATATCACACTGAATATTCAGGTTTATTTAATTCTTCATGGTTATCATTAACAGATGTGGATAACAAAAGACTGAGAAAAGTTAATAATATTTTGAATACAAAATTAAGAGTGGAAATGATCAAAAACAATCTATAATAATAAACTAATTAAAAGAAGAAAAAATTAAATAGGAATACCTGAGGAGACATACACATTTAGTGTTAAAAAGAAATCAACAACACAAAAGTCTGAGAGAAGATAATCCATCTTAATAAGAAAAGGCCTTGGGTTTTAGCTGATTACAAGTACATTAGCCAAGAGCAAGAAAGCCATATGAGCACAAAAAGTGTTCATGAAATTTGGGCTTCTTTAATATATTTCATTAACAAATGTTTACTGAGAACCTAAACTATATCAAGTATTTTATCAGGAGAGTACAGGGAACAAATTTAGAGAAGGAATAATCTTACCATATTTAGAATTAGTCAACCTGAATATAAAATATTAAGACTACATAAAGGAAATGGTTTTAAAAATTAGAGAAATGTGACCTACAAAAGAGAAGACTTTCTAATTTCCATGTTGCATTAAAAGAAGAAAGAAAACTCTTCAGTTTTTTTCATTTCATCAAAATAAATAAATGACAACTATGTGTTAAGCATTGGGATAGGCACTGGGATATAGAGAGCAAAATAGATACTGTCTTTGTCCTCACTTACTCAGAGTCTAGTGAGTACCTTATCACTGGAAGACCTTTAACGGGTACCAAATGATACTCTGTCAAGCATATTGCATGTATAAAAGAGACTCATGTACTTTGTATAAGGTTGAAATAAATGATCCCCAAAGTTGCTTCCAAAGCTAAAATTGTATGATTATAACACTGTACTATAAAAGAATGAAATTATTATTCTAAAATAAAGATACATCTAATAAATAAAATGCCAAGCAAAGCAAGATACACACACACAGGTTTTTTATAGTACTTCTACCTAACAAAACAACTTGTCAATTCATATGTTTAGCCTTCATGGCAAACTATAGTCAACAATTTCAAGCCACATTAAGACACTCCAATCTTAAATTTTTATTTCATTTCTGAGTAACAAAAAAAAAAAAATTTCCTTAGTCTAATAATTTTTTACCCTACTTAAAATAATTCCAAAGAAATTAATGTCTATGACTTCTCTAAGATTTCTTATATCAATCAATATACCTTTCCATGGCTTTAGCTGTATAAGGCAAATGCATTTCAATACTGTGTTCATCTTCATCTGTCTGCAGAGACATGCGTTCAAACATTCCTGTCTTCCATAGTTCTCCGTAAACTAAAGAGATTTCAAAATATATTAAAACAAATATATTAATGTATATCCTTATCCTGTGAGATTCTGCCCAGTAACATAAAACTACATGCTTGGCAAGAAAAAGAAGTACCATATTTCATTTATATTTAAAAAAAAGAAGAAAAAATATGAAAAAAAAACCAAACTAGACTTTTACATACCAAATAAAACAATGGTATTTGTGAAGACATACTCATCATTTGCATATGTTACATAGTTATATTTTAAAAATTGATTTAACTTAATCAGTTCTTTTCCATTATTTCTAAAATCACTTCTGGGTTTAGGCTTTTCTTGTCTTTTGAGATAGAGTCTCACTTTCTTGCCCCTGGTAGAGTGCCATGGCATCACAGTTCACAGCAACCTCAACACTCTGGCTCAAGCAATCCTTTTACCTCACTCTACTGAGTAGCCAGGACTACAGGCACGTGCCACAACGCCCAGCTATTTTTTACAAACAGGGTCTCACTCTTGCTCAGGCTGGTCTCAAACTCATGAGCTCCAGCAATCCACCCAGAGTGGATTGGTCTCCCAGAGTGCTGGGATTATAGGTGTGAGCCACCTTCCCTGGCCCAGGGTTTAGGTTTCTCCTTAACTTTAATCAGCTCACACTGGCCAAAACATAATCATAATTCCTTCCAAAATATGGGAAAAACACTAGTCTATTTGAGAAAATAATAGTTTTTGAGTTTTGTTTTTAAATAAAATGTATATTATTTAATGCTTCAGGTGTCTGCCCTACCAAGAACAAAAAATTCTTTTGTTGAAAGACAAATAAAATATAGAAAAAATATAGAAAATATAGAAAATATAGAAAAAATATAGAAAATATAGAAAATATAGAAAAAATAAATGGTGGTATGACCTCTTTTCTACAAAATTACACTGGCTAAAAAATTCTCCATTTCTTCACTAGAAGGCTATACAAAATTAAAATTTTCTGAATATCCCAACATGATTTTATAAATAAAATGTATCCCCTAAAATCACCTTAAGGAATAAGGATAATAATATTCTAGTTTCATTAATAAGTTGCATTCTAACAAATTACTAATACTATATGATACTTAAAACCCCAAAATATAAAAATTGAGGCCTAAGATAAAGAAAAAGCATTAACCATTTCTTTGCAAATAAAATTTCATTCTACAGAAGAAATTGTTGCAAAATTTCTTAAAACAACAGTACCCCTAAATACTTAAAAGACAACTTGATGAGATGGAAGAAATACACACCAGGTTCATGAAGGTGGTTACTTAGGGGGAGGTAATTTGAGTTCAGGATGAGCTTGAAAATTCTAATTGTGGACGATGAGTATATCAGCATTTGTTATATTATTCTGTATTTTAAAACTATTCTCCCTTAGGCCATGCGTGGTGGCTTACATCTGTAATCCAAGGAGGCTGAGGAGGGTAGATTCCTTGAGCTCAGGAATTCAGAGACCAGCCAGAGCAAGAGTGAGACCCTATCTCCAAAAATAAATGGGTATTATGGTGGATGTCTGTAATCCCAGCTAGTTGGGAGGCTGAGGCAAGAGGATTGCCAGAGCCTAGAAGTTTGAGGTTGCTATGAGCTATGACACCACGGCACTCTATCAAGGGCAACAAAGTAAGACTCAGTCTCAAAAAAAAAAAAAAATTATTCTCCCTTGCCCCACCCTCCAAAATGCCACTATAAAGTCAAAGGTGACTCCTGAAGACCTAAGGAAAAAAACAATTCAAAATAATACCATGTTTAAAAATAAAACACAGTATTATAAAATAATATTTATTATTAAATATTAAAATAATATTTTAAAATATTTAAGATTTGTACATATCTTTCATTCAGGGCTTCACAATTATAGTCTTGTTTTTTTCCCCAAAATCACTTGCGAAAAAATAAAAGTGTTACCACCATTATCAATTTACAGTGAAAAAAATGATATATAGAGAGAGGTTGACTAACATGACCAGAATCTTTTTATTAAGTTGATGTGGGAACTAATTTCTCATGATACAATAAATATCAAGCATTCCCTGAATATAATTTATCTACCACAGTTTGACACTAGTAGATCTAAGAGATTTCTTTTTTTTTTTTTTAGACAGAGCTTCAAGCTATCCCCCTGGGTAGAAAGCCATGGCATCACAGCTCACAGCAACCTCCAACTCCTGCGCTCAAGCGAGTCTCCTGCCTCAGCCTCCCAAGTAGCTGGGACTACAGGCGCCCACCACAACGCCTGGCCATTTTTTGGTTGCAGCCATCATTGCTGTTTGGTGGGCCGGGCTGGGGATTTGAACCCACCCCCTTAGGTGTACGTGGCTGGCGCCTTAGCCGCTTGAGCCACAGGCACCAAGCCAGATCTAAGAGATTTCTATAGCTAGTAGGAAAACAGTAGCTATCTTTCAGGGACAGGAAAGATTTTGGTTTTGTTTTATGCAGATTAGTTGTAATAAATTTTATTTTAAAAATTGAGAATATTACTTATTACATTCATATTTATACATTTTTTAACTAACTTACAATTCCTATTAAAAGAACTTTACTTTAAAAGCTACAGTGTTAAGATCACCTATATGGTCTGTCTAAGAAGGATACAAGTGAACTTTTCTAGAACTAGAGTATAAATGTTTTAACATAATAACTAAGTAAATGACACAAAGTCTATGTTAACCAGTTTGATGAAAATATTTCAAATTGTAGATGAAAACACTATACTGTACCCCATGTTTGCATTAATGTATACAGCTATCATTTAATAAAAATAAATAAATAAAAGCTACAGTGTTTCTATATACTTACTCTTTTGGTCAATACGAAGGTCATAGAGAGGTGTCCTGTATATATCCACACTGGAAAGTGCACATCGAGAGAGGGGCACATGATGAGAAGGCCCAAGGATGAAAATTCTCCGGCTAGGAGATACATAGAGAAAAATACAGAATGATTGCACTTCTACACAATCTTATTAAGTAAAAGAGGAAAACATTAAATAATTCTATAAAAATTACTTTTCCTTTTTGATTTAACACCTACTGTTAAGACCTACACTGTTCTCCCCAAAATGAATATGTTGAAATCTCAACCCCAGTTCCTTCCACTTAGCTGTATTTGGAGGTAAGATCTTTAAAAAGGTAATTAAGTCTAATTGAGGCCATTAGTGTGGGGCCCTAATCCAACCTGACTGCTACCCTTATAGGAAGAAAAGACCCCAGGGGCTGCACAATCACGTCTGAAGAGTCAACAAGATGGTAGCCAAGGAGAAAGGCCTCAGGAGAAAACAACCCTGCCAGAACCTTGATGTTAGACTTCTAGCTTCGGAACTGTAAGGAAATAAATTTCTGTTGTTTAAACCACCCAGTGTGTGGTATTTTGCTATTGCAACCCTAGCAAACTAATACACCTACTAATGATTTGCTCCTTGGTTACTAAAGTTCAATTCCTTATTACTGTCTTCATGTTAGAAGGCCTTTAAAAAAATCATGTTCAAGACCTAGAAATGCCAGCTACCAATTTTTACAGTAAGCCAACTATACAAAAAATAATCTCTGTATTCACAACGGCTAGGATACAGAAGATTTTCATAAGCTGTATTCTATTAACTGGATTTTAAACATCTTGGCTATTAAAATCTCGAAATTCTAACACATTCTAAAATCACTTTCTAAGATCCACAACAACTTTAATAAAATTACATAATAGCACAGAATTCTAAAAATCCATATAAAGTATCATTACAAAGAAGCATTCTGGCAAAGCTATTTCCATTATTTCTTCCATGACAGGGAAAAAAGGCATCTTGTTGAGAAGAATTCTAATATAATAAGCTTTCTCTATTCCCATTCAAAAAGTCATTCTCAAAAACAAAGAAACTTGATTATGTGTCATTTTCGCTGTTGTCTAAAAAAATAAGTAGCTTAAATCTCTATAATCTCTGTATCTTGACTTGAGAAATAAAATTAACTTCCTCTTGCTCCAGCCTAGGCAAAAAAGCAAGACCCTGTCTCAAAAAAATATTAACTTCCTTTCATTTTATCTTGAACATCTAAACTGGCCCTAAAATCTAAATTCCAAAACTATTCATTATCTCTGTTCTCTAAGATTCAAATGAACCAAACTTCCCCTATCACACACAAACAAAAAAATTTACGGATCCCCAAACCCAAAGCTATTAGAAAGAAGAAAGTATATAATAGTCTATATACCCAAAAAATTAAGTATTACTGTTTGTTCAATGAATGGACAAAGACTGAGAGATGAGCTAGCTCTTTCATAACAAAAATTAGCAGGCCAAGAAACTTGTGCCTTACCAATGTATTTACTCTAACAAAATTCTACTACAGCTAAGAAAATTAGCCTATTTTTTGCTGTATGTTACTTCACACTTTGGGGGAGCAAGGAGGAAATAAGAAAGTTGTGGATAAGTGATTCTCAGTTTAAAGCCCCCAAAACTCTAAGATATCACACATAGCAAACACGGAAGACTTCACTCACAGGCTGTTTCTGATCAGAAACATAACCTCTTTTTCTAACCCTTGCCCTCCAGTATGTTAATAGAACTTCTAATCCTCACTTATTGATTTCTAGTCATCACCTCTATTAATTCAATAACCATTTCAGAAAAAATAGGTCAAATCTACAGAATCCTAAATGAATAAAATAAGAGATATCACCCTGATCTCCCATCTTAACAACAATGATGACAATTTTTAAAATGAATATCTAATATGGAACCTACATAATGGTAATGCAGCAATGTGAACGGTAACTTGACTAAGGCCAGGTAGTATATAAACCAAGAATCAAGTATGAAAAGGAACATTTTTCTGACTGAGGAAGGTATTTCTATGAAAAAATACAGAGGGATAGAATATTTAAAGAAAGAATGTTCTTGGAAAATCTAGAACATATAGTTAAAACATGTAATAATTTTTAGAATATCAATCTAAACTCAAAGCATAGATGAAGCACTGTTAGATGATTCTAACAGTGGCCAAACAATGAGCATTGCTCCAGATGTCTGCTGCAAGCCTAATCAACTCCTCTGATACCTGACTACTTTCTTTCCTTGCCTTTTTGTCAGATCCAACCTAGATGAGGGGAAAACAACCCCCATCTATCAGAATCAACCGACTGTGTACCTAAAAGATTCTTTTAAGTTTAGTAGAAATTCACTCATACCCACTGTAGTAAAGTTCCACACTTTGATTAAAAGAAATGAAGAAAAAAAAGAAAAGTTTAGGTATCATCAATATAAACTCCTTAAAAGTGATATACCCAAAAACAAAACCAAAAAGCTAGATATAACTGAAAAAGAAGGAAAAGGGAGCATATTAAACCAGTAGAAACCTCAAATGTTATAATCTGTTATCTAAATGGTAATAAAAGAAAATGAACAGTATACATTAAAGTTCAAGCATTTTCTTTATTTTATTTATTTATTCATTTTGCTAGATTGCTAGATTCACAAACACCATCACCATAAGAATATTCTGGGAGGCTGGGCACAGTGGCTCATGCCTGTAATCATAGCACTCTGGGAGG